TCTCGGATCTCTTGTATTACAAGCATTAACTTTTTCTGTTGATCTTGGGATATCTTTGGTCCATTCTGATATAGCACCGTTTAGGACCTGTATGTTAGATTTTAGTGAAAATCAAGACCCTATGATAAGGATTAATCTTTTCATTCAAAAAGGAAATTCATTGCCCAAGGACTAACAGAAGTCTTCATAATACAGATCATTGAGCTCAAAACAATGTTTCCAATTCGGAGTTTCAATGTTTGCTTAATTTCATAAGTTCAATAGTAGCCTTATCATTTGCTGTAATGTGAATTAAGAAGAGATTCATGACTATGTTGGTGGCTATGTGACTGGCTATTAATAAGGGGTCATAGGATGTAAAATACATGCTTTGTGGTTTCCTTGATGGAAGTGGAAGTAAATTAGTTCCTTTTGTACTACATTTTACTACCTGTAGAGAAGGACAGTTCCACCATATTACAAACTGTATGCTGTATAGAGTTATAAGAGACATTGACTTGTGGCCAGTTTTTTCTGTTTGATTTTCAGATGCCCGGAGGTCATATTTGGTATGGTGTTGCCAGTCTGCATAACATTTTATCTGTCCAGAGATCTTCTCTCAACAGTTTTCAAATGAGTTGAAATATTTTGAACAACTTCTTTTCAGTAACCAAAATGTTGATGTTGGTTCTTTAACATAAGTGGATAAAGGGCTACCGATTTATCCAAATAATTGATCGTGACCTATATTCAAGAACTCTTATGTCAAATGAGTTAAGATCTGAAGCAATGGGTCTGGAGTAGTGGCATTTGTACAGTAGCATGTATAAAGAACATGATTTCAAGTTTGCATAAAATACCTTTATGAACCAAATATATCTTCTGTTGAGTGGTTGAGCAATTTATTTTAAGCCTATTTAAAATTTTCACCATAACATGAAGTTGTGTTTTCTGAACATCAGTTTCGATTCAGCCATATTTGGAAGTGTTACTGCCGTTTCTTGTTTTCATGATGTCAATCTTGTCTGAAGATAATCTCTATTAATTTTCAATCAATTTTAATGCAAAAGGTAACACAGGTTACAACCTATTGTCACAGCCTTTGGAACGAGCAGTTACTACCAATCCTAGCTGTCTTATTGAAATATTCCAACAGATTACCAAGGTTTCAACCTATTGTCACAACCTTTGGAACTAGCTGATATTACCAATCCTAGTCGACTTATTGGTTGAAATATTCCAACAGATTACCAGTGCCATATGTTTGCAGCCATATCCTACATTGTATAAACAATGCTGCTATCTGTCAAAACAGTGTCATTAGGGCATACTTTCATTCAAACTTGGTAGGCGTAAATCACCAAGACATGAAGTAGTATTTTACTTCTCAGCAGTTTGCTTCAATAATTTTTGAAGAAGTTATTGCTCTTTGTTTTTTAGCATTGTAATTTATATGGAAATCTTCCTCAACAGTTACATACCAATTTCCCTGAAACTTGGTATATAACCTTCACATAATATTATGCTGTTCTTACTGTCATCATGTTTTTACAATTTTTGAAAGCAATAATAGCATTGGGGTTCTTTTTTCTGCCTTTTTATTCTGTCCAGATATTTCTTCCCTTAGTTTTCAACCAATTTCTTTTTAACTTGAAATGTTAGGCATGAAAATCACATCATGAAATTGTGTTGTCTTGAATAAAATTTTGATTCAACAATATTTAAAAAATTCCCCTTTGTTCTCGTCAGCATCTTAATATTGTTCACAAACTCCTTTCATTTTCACACGTTTCTGTGGGCTCCCTGTTTTCTGAAAATGCAAAATATCCAAGAGTTTTAAGACAACGGCTCGAGGACGTTCGGATGAATGTCTATCAATATCCCTGTACACCATGTTTATAACAACATTCACACAGCTTTTATGTTGTATATTGGATATATACAACATTTCAAAAACTCATTAAAGCAGCTTTCTATATCTCATAGAGTCTCTAGCTACATACATAATAAATGAAAGTGTCTCGTTCCTATTTTTGGAATTAATGTTGGTGACAGAAATGTGAACAGAAAGTCTGTGTTTTTACAAGAAACAAGAGTAGGTTTAACGTTTATACTTATATTTCTGAATGTACATACGATATAGTGTGTGACACAGTAACTGGGAGATTAATGTAGACCAGCTAGCTCATTGTACATCACTGTCACAGGGGTCATACAGGTCCCGTATGTAGTAATGTTATAAACCTTGGGATATGAAACCAGAATAAATTGGAAATGTCAAAATATGGATTACAAAAAAGTTAGGTGATTCATATTAGGAAACATACACTGGATACTTTTTTTTTCAACCGGATGTCAGATCAATCTACAAATTTAGATGATGAATTGTAGTATCAAAGAGTAGGTGGGGGTAGTGGAGAGGGGAGGGGTGTCTCTCTAGCTCATGCCTTTTCATCAAACTTCACATATACTGGATAATTATATCTAGTTTTAGATATAATCCTTTATATGTTGATTATACCAAGGCTTGCATTTTGGAGGATGGGAATTATGTGATGCTTTCAAAGGCTTCCTTTTATTGATATTTACATTATCTTGGATCTAGGTTATAAATCTCTGACATATCTTCTATATATCAGTACATGTTGATAATAATGACAGCAACATCGTGTATTATCAGTACATGTGTATAATAATGACGACACCATCGTGTATTATCAGTACATGTGTATAATAATGACAGCACCATCGTGTATTATCAGCACATGTGTATAATAATGACAGAACCATCGTGTATTATCAGTACATATAATAATGACAGCACCATCATGTATTATCAGTACATATAATAATGACAGCACCATCATGTATTATCAGCACATGTGTATAATAATGACAGAACCATCATGTATTATCAGTACATATAATAATGACAGCACCATCATGTATTATCAGTACATATAATAATGACAGCACCATCATGTATTATCAGTACATATAATAATGACAACACCATCATGTATTATTAGTACATATAATAATGACAACACCATCATGTATTATCAGCACATGTGTATAATAATGACAGAACCATCATGTATTATCAGTACATGTGTATAATAATGACAGCACCATCATGTATTATCAGTACATATAATAATGACAGCACCATCATGTATTATCAGTACATGTGTATAATAATGACAGCACCATCATGTATTATCAGTACATGTGTATAATAATGACAGCACCATCATGTATTATCAGTACATATAATAATGACAGCACCATCATGTATTATCAGCACATGTGTATAATAATGACAGCATCATAGTGTATTATCAGTACATATAATAATGACAGCACCATCGTGTATTATCAGCACATGTGTATAATAATGACAGCACCATCGTGTATTATTAGTACATATAATAATGACAACACCATCATGTATTATCAGTACATATAATAATGACAGCACCATCGTGTATTATCAGTACATATAATAATGACAGCACCATCATGTATTATTAGTACATATAATAATGACAGCACCATCGTGTATTATCAGTACATGTGTATAATAATGACAGCACCATCGTGTATTATCAGTACATGTGTATAATAATGACAACACCATCATGTATTATCAGTACATATAATAATGACAGCACCATCATGTATTATCAGTACATATAATAATGACAGCACCATCGTGTATTATTAGTACATATAATAATGACAGCACCATCGTGTATTATCAGTACATGTGTATAATAATGACAGCACCATCGTGTATTATCAGTACATGTGTATAATAATGACAACACCATCATGTATTATTAGTACATATAATAATGACAGCACCATCGTGTATTATCAGTACATGTGTATAATAATGACAGCACCATCGTGTATTATCAGTACATATAATAATGACAACACCATCATGTATTATCAGTACATGTGTATAATAATGACAGCACCATCATGTATTATCAGTACATGTGTATAATAATGACAGCACCATCATGTATTATTAGTACATATAATAATGACAACACCATCATGTATTATTAGTACATATAATAATGACAGCACCATCGTGTATTATCAGTACATGTGTATAATAATGACAGCACCATCGTGTATTATCAGTACATGTGTATAATAATGACAGCACCATCATGTATTATTAGTACATATAATAATGACAACACTATCATGTATTATCAGTACATGTGTATAATAATGACAGCACCATCATGTATTATTAGTACATGTGTATAATAATGACAGCACCATCATGTATTATCAGTACATATAATAATGACAGAACCATCATGTATTATCAGTACATATAATAATGACAACACCATCATGTATTATCAGTACATATAATAATGACAACACCATCATGTATTATTAGTACATATATTAATGACAGCACCATCGTGTATTATCAGTACATGTGTATAATAATGACAGCACCATCGTGTATTATCAGTACATGTGTATAATAATGACAGCACCATCGTGTATTATCAGTCAGCACCATCGTGTATTATCAGTACATATAATAATGACAGCACCATCATGTATTATCAGTACATATAATAATGACAGCACCATCGTGTATTATCAGTACATATAATAATGACAGCACCATCGTGTATTATCAGTACATATAATAATGACAGCACCATCATGTATTATCAGTACATATAATAATGACAGCACCATCGTGTATTATCAGTACATATAATAATGACAGCACCATCATGTATTATCAGTACATATAATAATGACAGCACCATCATGTATTATCAGTACATATAATAATGACAGCACCATCATGTATTATCAGTACATATAATAATGACAGCACCATCGTGTATTATTAGTACATGTGTATAATAATGACAGCACCATCATGTAATCAAGTTATAATTATCTAACTTGTTAACATCCCATCACCAAATTGATAATTGTGTCTAATATGAATGTTTTGTTTTTTGCAGGACCTTGTGGAGGTAAAACAACTGGACAGTCACGTTTGAGTACCTTCTTTGAAAGTATAGGATGGCAGGTCTGTATCCAGAAATTTGGTTTAAACTTGTGTATATCTGTCTATACTCACTACTAAGTTAAGCTGATCATAGAGCTATAAACCTGAATTCATGATCTGTAAATCTCTCTGTTGGCAGCATCAGTCCACACTTTGGTATCTGAAATGGAACCTTCCTCTAATCATGATTATAGTTTAGAAAAAACAAAAGAGAGATTTTGTATCATTAAAAAATATAGAATTAAAACAATTGTATTTAAAGGGGTTGAAACAATCATTTGAAGACAAGAAACATTTACTTATTTTTTTTGTTTATTTTCAGATAACTTCCAAAAATTACATTTTTAATTTGATATTTACAATAGCAGCACATAAGCTTTCAATTATTGCCCCTTATTGAACATTTGTTGTCCAATCATATCAATTGTAGGCTGTTTTGTATATATTTCTATAAAAACTATGGTAACTTTTTTATAGACTGATGATGATATAAAGATTTATGTGAAGTCGTTGCAGTAAAGGTTATGTCATTGATAACGTAGTAGGTATGTTTTTGTGTTATTTTATTCACTTGTGTGAAATTCATATGATCAGGAATACATATGTGTTTGTGTGGTTTATAGGTGTACAGATCTCCAGAGACGGCTTTTGTACTGATGAGGTAGGTTTGTTTATATGTAAATTGTATATGGGTATTTAGATGCTGCTTAAAGACTGTGTGACAGTGTATTCTAACCTATAAGAATGAGATATGAACCAGTACGTACTCTATACTTAACATGTTCATTGCTCTTCTATTCTTCAGAATGTTTCTTCTTTTTTTTTTTTTAATTGACGAAAAGTAAACATTGCAAACTTTGTAGAACAAGCATTAAGTTTTATTTTAAAGTATAAACTATAGATATATGTATATCAATGAGAGGCTTCAGACTTCTTTATCTTAAATGATACCACCTGTATGTCTTCAGGAGGTAAATCTATTACAGTTAAGGAATGTGAACAATAGGTTTAATTTTCTATTTTAGTGGGGGAGTGAAGTTTACAAATCTTTCAAAGGACCAGGGTATGTACACACATTGAGTTACAGGTTTTGAGAATTTAGAAAAGGCGATACAATTTTAATTGGCTTAAATTTAATGTTTTAGTTATTAAATATTTTCCTAATGGCCAAACTAGAACTATACACCATGCCAGTTTATGGAGGAGACCCACTCTGTTACAGATATTTTTTCATATTTTATTGACTGGAAATGTTGTTGTATACTAAAAGATAATATATAAATAAAGACTTGTATAAAGTTTCGAACTTGAAATGGAAATGGTACAGGAGATATCGGTGCCGGAATTAGTCCCATTAATGAACACCAGGATATGAATATTGATGAGGAAAAGTCACAAAAATGGAGGAAGAGGTGAGAAATACGTCCTTGTGACATCGCTTGTAAAGAGATTTTACCGATAAATGCAATCAATACTCTATATATCCTGTATGGAAATCCTCTAACATATGTATTGATAACATCTTTCAATGCTTTTCGCTTCAGAATCCGTCAAAACACGTTTTCTTCCTCGCTTCCCTCGCACACTTTCTGCCATGTTGGAAGATGGCAGATTTATTTACAGTTCTTTGCGCTTGTGTCAGAGGGCAGGACTTCCTGCATAATTATGAATTAGCACGGAGTCATTTCGAATTCTTTTTTAAAACTATTTATTACGTTAGATTGGTAGCAATTTACTTTAAAATTGCAGGGTTAGTCAGAACTTTTACTACCCGAGAAAAATAGAAAATCATTAATTTTCTTTTTTATATAAAATAATATCGGTCGAGGAGTGGGTCTGGCTCTTTAAGAATACTGTAATGAAAGAGAAAAATGGACAATATTATATCATGCCTATTGCTGCAAGTGAAATTAGTATCTCATTTCTGATTAAAAATGAAAGGCATCAATCTGTAACTAAGAATCTACTAATTCAATTTTATTGACTAGAACATCAGATGAGTGTAACAACATGTGAAATATTTACTTTTCTATTTAGCCTACAAGTTCCAGGAGAATCTACTGAAGACCATGATCCAGATAGAAAACACATTCTTTGATTTAGCTAAACAATCCAAACAAAATTGTCTAGTCATCTGTGATAGAGGCCTAATGGATGCTTCAGCGTGTGAGTATAGAAACCGATACAAATGTAGTTACAGCTTAATATCTCTAATATATATATAACCTCATTTTACAAGATGTCAGGCCTTTGGAAGACTTTGTCACATGGTCACAGCCTTTGGAAGTAGATGTTACATTCAATCCTATCATTCTGATTCGTCCAAATTGTCAAACAATTTACCTGTGACCCCTAGTGGCAGTATGCTATATACAATGCTGCCATTTGAAAAATAGTGCCATACATGCGTGTTGTCATTATGAGACGATCAAGTACTGTGAAAACTGACATAATGTGCACAGTATTTTTCAAAGAAAAAATAAATGTCCATTATTGAACTATAGGATTTTCAAGTTTTCTTTCAAGGTAAAGTTAGAATTAAAGATTCTTTGAGGGCCATCATCATTGAATGTCAGGACTATCTAGTACTGAAAACTGACACATATATACAATTTATTTATGAACAACAATAATAAATAAGATAATTACTGTATATATTTATCCAAACTATCTGAGTAAATATCATACAGAACCAGGACAAAGTGTTTGAAAACATGATAGTAACTAGCAAGACAGAAAACTAACGATTGGCAAAGATGATGAATGGGCTGTTTTGGATATTGAAAAAGATATCAATTATAATATGATTGTCTTTTGAAACACTTACAAATTCAGTTGTTAAGAAAAGAGCAAGTTTCATTTTGTTGTCCTCCATGTCGGATATCGTGATGAAGCAGAAGCCATGAACACATGTTTGTTTCCATGTGTATAAACGGAAGTTAGCATTGGTTTAATTAGTATGCAGAGTGTGAATTGAGACTTATCATTGGACTAAGGATTTAATTCATTATTTATAAAAATTGGTCTTATTGATGTTTACAAAGCATATCACACATTATGCTGGATTTTACGCTATTATACTTCAAACTTACCAAAATTTATAATCTATCAGTGATGGATGGTGTCCAGATTGTTCCAAGGAATGACTTGAGACTTTAGGGCAAATAGGTGACCTTAACAAAAATATGTAATCAAAAGGAGTTTGTTCATGACCTTGTGAAAGACCTTGATAAGTTAGTTTTATTGACCAGCCAGAGTCATTTCAAGGTGAGATATTTTTGTAGTAGCTGCTGGTTACCTCACAGAACAACATATGGGAGGCCAGTCGCATGCTATCCAGAGCAATATGGGTAAAGTGTCTTGCCCAGGAATACAACAGCATAGACTGGTCGGTTTCCCAGCTTCCTTGGAAACAAAAACCACCAGGATAGGGAGCATTGAACCAAACACCATTTACATCAACACTATTTTCATGGTCTCAAAGTGTCAAAAGTAACATTCTATTATATAATTGGGATGAAGAACTATCAAGTTTGTTCAAATGAACGACTGGAATTTATATTTCAGCAGTGTTCACTAGATCTATGCATTCAATTTTTGAAATGGCTGCTGTAACCAAATTTCTTTTGTGGCTATTAACATTCATGATTTCACTAATATATTTAGTTCTTACCAATTTATTTTTGCCAGTTACCATTGTAAAATTCAGAGGGCATTGTCTTCAGATAAATCATGTAGGGAGTCCCACATCTGGTTGTTTATTTAGCCAAAACGGATGTTTATATAACATTAATTTGACTTTCTGTATAGTGAACAAGCCAACTGCTAGCTTTAGGTGACAGAAACCATGATTAATTTATAATGTATGTTACACAAGACATTACAAATAATACATTATTAATATGTAATGTTCACAATTCTAACGTAGTTTCCTACCTTGTTTCCAGGTGAGAAGATGTGCATGTTTTATAATTAATTCTGACCATGGCTCTTCACACAATGTAATCACCCACATGTAGCAATGTGACGGTTGATCACATTTAGTTAAAAGGTTGCATGGCTTTCTATAAAAGGTGACACATTCATAGAATTTACACACTCTACAGACCTGGAGTATGTCATTCACAAAACACAAACTCCTTAGCACCAAACTCTCTAGGAAGTAAATTGACCTTTACACTGAATTTAACCATATATTAACAAAACCCATGATAGCTGTATGTACTATAGACATAGATTCAGGATAAACTGTAGGTACAGTTGTTATTCTATAATACAACAAATGATACATCTTGTATGAAAACTGGTGTTCATTATCCACATAATGTATGTTTAAAATTGCAGGGCTTAATTTTTGCAGTTTTGCTTCAATTGCAAACTTTGCCAAAGTATATTATATGTAAAAGACAGTTGGTTAATGGTTTTTATGTGTAACAACCAGGTGTAGGGTGAGGATATTCAGCCAGTAGCAGGGGTCTTTAATTTGCTTCAGATTTAATCAAATGTTGTAATATGTTTCTGTAGATGTTGATAAAGAGGATTGGAAGAGGATGAAGGGGGACAATGATTGGGACGAAGTAGATATCCGCGATAATCGCTACAATCAAATCATACATATGGTGTCAGCAGCAAACGGAGCTGAGCCCTTTTATACTGTGGCAGGGCATGGAACAAGGCATGAAGACTTAGAAGGTGCTCGCCAGCTTGACAAAATTACAGCAGGGGTATGTGATCGTCATCGTTTTCACTCTATCTTCGCTGTGAAAATATTGCTTGTTTAAATTTGTTTCTTGCTTGTTTTTTTCTCCATTTAGAACAAAATGATTCTTTTGTGTAACCACATAATATTAGGTTATTGAAATAAGAAAATTTATTACAATTTTTTTGTTGATTTTTAGTATGATTCACAAAATATACATTTTTGCATTAACTGATTATATTTATAAAGATAATACTAGACCTGGTTATGTGTTATGTATATAAACCTGTATGTATAATTTGTATGAGAGTGGTGTTACATTTTTGTTTGTACAGGCCTGGGTAGGTCATCCCTACTTTGATGTGATAGATAACAGTTCAAACTTTGAGGAGAAAATAAACCGAATGATATCAGTAAGTATCATAATACAATTTAGAGTTAAATTAAGAAAGATAGGGTCATGATGTCTCAACATCCCGACGCCATGGTAACACAGAGGTCAAACCATTTAGTGCCGTATGCTCACCTATATCCTTACTCCTTTTCACAAATGCAACTACCTTGCAGACACTTTCATGAATAGGTCAGTCACATTTTCAGTACCTCACCAGTAATTTAAACTCAGCGGGTAACAATTCTCCTCCCTTTCAAGAACAATATATTAAATTAATTTCTATTCACTTGACCTCAAATGCCCTAACCATATAAAGAATGTTTGACCCCTACTTATCTTGTACACGGTCTGTAACTGACCAATTGCTTTACTGCCATCTATTTGGGAATTATCAGCTTCAACATAGACAAAGAAAGCTCATTGTCTCAGAATTCTCTGAGGTGTCAACTCCAGTATTTTGTCAATCTGCACTATCCTACCATAGGACAAAATGTAAGGTATCAGACTCCAACAGGAGTTCTCAAACATCGCCAGTAACATTGCATCAATTAGTACATGAAAAAGTACTTTTTCATTTTGTGATAAAATTTGCAAGTGCTTAGAAAAACATAAACAATATATTTGAAGAATTGAGATGAAAATTTATTGCTCTTTATATATCTGCTTGGTGTACATTAAAATATTCTGAGTAATGAGTGGATGTTTTTGACACTTGGCACAGTGCCTAGTAGTTAAAAAAAAATAACCTAAGTCCTGAAACAGGTAATTGTTAAATACAATATATCGATATTATGCAGTTCAGCTTTTATTCCCACCAATGAATAATTTTAGCCCACCTGGCCTGAAGGGCCATGTGAACTTTGCTGTGGTACAGCATCCCTCATCTATCAGCAATCCACTGTATGGCATCAACTTTTTCCTTTAAATAACTTCTCAATAACCAATGAACCAAATGCATTGATATTTGGCTGGTAAGTTCCTAGGATGAAGCTGGGCAAAGTTCGCAAAAAAATTGACCTTGACCTATATTCAAGGTCACAGGAGTCATATTTGTAAAAAGATTTAATCAACTTCTTCTCATGGACTAAAAGGCCTAGAGGCATGATATTTGGTCTGTATGTTCCTAGGATGAATACTGACAAAGTTTGGAAAAATAAATGACCTTGATTTATGTTTTTAGAGCATTTAATGACTTCTTTTCATGAACTAAAAAGCTGAGAAGGCATGATATTTGGCTTGCATGTATATACCAGATGGGTGTTGTAGGCCCATTGGGCCTCTTATTGTCATATTCTTTTTGAAAACCATGTTTGAGATTACTTTGGTCTAGAATGGGCTTTATACCTAGCTTCTCTCCTATGGTACTCCTGGTTAGAAATTGTGAAAAGAAAAACTAGAACACTTGTTGGTCATGTGTTATTGTCAGGTCATACAATAATTATGATTATGGTTTACAGGCAGTATGTAACAGACTGGGGATAGATGTCCAGGACCGTCTCAGCTCCAACAGTAAAAAGAGAAAGTTTCTGGTTAAAAAAGTGGGTGATTTACAGGTAAGATTGCACTCAACTTAACATGCCTCATAATGTCATATGTTGATTTTATCAGAGTGAAATGTGATATAAAGCAAAGTGTGATATGTATATTTAGAATATTTATATTCAGCAAGTGTGGCAGGAAGTAGACTCCCCACATGCTGAAACCATGGGAAAGCCTTGGTCTGTCTGTGAACAGAACCTGTCTTTGCTGCATGGTTAATGCAATCATATTATTGACAAAAAAGTAGTTCACATGGAAATGATACTTGTTTATTACCGCAAATATTCGCGTATAAGCTGAAACTGTCGTGTCAAAAAGGGGGTGCGCACTATACGCAGGTACATGCCATTCCTGGGGTTATCATTCCCAAGTTCTGCATCCGCCATATTGGATTACCTCCCTTCACATAGTTATATGTAAAAGTCGGTCTTATATGACAGTTTGGAGATAAAAACAACAAAAAAATAAAATAAATTTCGAATGTTTTAATCATCTGCCATTCACGCTAGCATTACGGTGAATCTAATTTTTTTTCGTTTCCCGTCGGTCTTACTATTGGTCGGGACTATAGTAGTGTCTGAATTTCTGCCTCATTTTGATGATGTATCTGTGGAATTCAATGAATCCGGAAGTTTTTAGGCGATTGTCGTTCTGTTCATAAATCGGACAGCCCATCCCACCGATGCCCAAAGTTGGTGACCCCATGACTTCTCTTGATCTGCATGGCCCGCACGCGCAGTTCTGTTGTACTGGCAGCGATGCCGGGATATCGGCGATCGCATACAAAGTTGAACAGCTCTCTCTCTCCATCTCTGGGTGTTTCGCTGTCGCACCTATGTCAGCCCTTCTGGTGAGTGGTTGGGACTTAAGACGGTCTTTTCTTTCTTCTGTGCCTTGATTTTTTTTACTCTGGAATGTCAAAGTGGCGACCGGCGGCACGAAACTCCAGTCTCTCGGCGTAGTCAAATGGCGTTCGCAGTTTCCCCATGTCGAAGTCGGTGTAAACAATCTATCATTAAATACCTTCAGATACCGCGGTGGGTACAGATACCATGAAAGATCATGCCTATACTGAACAAACCACCTGCTTTTATGGGGACAAGGTAGGATTGAAAATGTTCAGACAGTTAAAACAACATCGTTTTCTGACCAATAGTATGCGTTTAGCCCAAGCCGGGTGTCATCAGTCTCCTCATACTCAATGTGTTAACTGTCATTAACCGTTAATTATACAATCAGCCAAGCCTTTCATGCTTGTTAAGTCACCTGGGTAAATTTGTTTACTTAAGGTAATTACATGTGTTAGGGTCATGCTCATTGTGGTTTCCTAATTATCAATGGATCAGACCACATCAAATGTTTCGTCGCAGTGACCAGTCAATTAATTTTTCTGTAGATTTTTTTTTTTTTTAATCTGATCTCCAAAAAGTACCTGCGCACTATACGCGAGTGCACACTATACGCGAATATTTCCGGTAGTTCTGTTAAATCCAACGCTGAAAATTTGTTTCAGTCAAAAATGATTCATTTGATTTAAACGTTGAATGTTGTGACTTTTTTTATCACCCAATCAGAGTATTGGAAGTTGTCACTATGGAACTGTGGTAAGCAGTATGTATATAATACTGGCTTGTGTCACAGATGTTCTCCTCTGAATAGTGCTCTTCAGTTGTGTGTCTTTTATACAATCTTTGGGATTGCATTTGGTAGGCACTGCTGATGGAATTTTAGTCTCTCAGCTTTGCCAGAACCTGCATACCATATTTTAATTCATTTGAATAGCAGCACGGTTCAGAACATACACATGTACTTAATGCTGCTCTAATATTATCTGACATATGAAGACTGCAAAATTTGTTGAATTTTTGGGATAGTACACCTTCCTATCTTTATTTTGGCTTTTCTTTTGATGACTTTTGAATTTGATCACCTCCTAGGCTCCAAAATTTAGGTCCTTAGCATCACTGATGAGGCCAAGAAGGATGAAACAGTTGTATGATGCTGTTTAGTTCATTGTTTAGCTCTAGTAAATCTACCTCTAAATTTGTATTAAAAAGTGCTACACACTTGTGTGTCTTTTGTACACTCTTTAATTGTAGACATGGAAAATTTTCTCTGTTTTAGAATTTTCCACAGTTCCAGGATTTCACTGTACAACATGACTACCTCGTTACTCCAAGTCGTAAGATGCAAGCAAGGATCAGGAAAAGGGGCCAGCACAGTAAGTTACACACATTATATTCGGTTTGTGAATTTTCTCTTTTTTCAGTAATCACCTTACCCTGTTTTTGGAGGTGCAAGTATAAATCTAGTTTAATCCAGTATTTTATTCCTGATGTAACATACCAAAAGATGAGAAATAAAATTTTAGCTAATGTAAAATATACAGGACCTTTGGTACACAAAATTTTGAAAAATGTTCAGGTATTGTTTCTCATGATGACAATAGTCATCTATCCGGACCAGACTTTGTGTTACTTAAGGTTACTTTATCAAGTCAGTAATATTAATACCATTTCATATCCTAATACTTTGTACATTTATAATACGAAGGTTTCACCAATGTCTATGTAGTGATAAATTTTACTTCCCTGCCAGATTCCTGGACATATACTCATACCATTAGACGCCCAGAAATAAGCAACGAAATGGTGGAGCTAAGAATGGTGATATCTAACAAAGACTACAAGGTGAGAACACCATATGTTGTATGGATTAAGGTTGATGAGAATATCCAGGTTTGACAGCTCATCGTTCTTTTCCATTAGAAATGAAAGGATTTCAATCCACTAACTGCCCTTGGGAACACTCCATCCAGTTCTTATTCCCTTTGACAGAAACCCTACTTCCATCCATCTTCCCTGTGCCAACTTTCTTTTAGGAACCCCTCCATCTCCCTGCAAACTCCACTTGGGAACACCCCTCTCCCTCTGCCAACTCCCTTTGGGAATACTTCCTACCTCTTTCATTCCTGTCAGGAGCATCCCTCACGTTCTCCCTCTGCCATCTCCCCTTGGAACACCCATTTTCATTTGTCATCTCCCCTTGGGAATATCCCTCTGCCAACTCCCCGTGGGAACACCCCTCCCTCTGCCATCTCCCCTTGGGAACATCCCTCTGCCATCTCCCCGTGGGAACATCCCTCTGCTAACTCCCCATGGGAACACCCCTCCCTCTGCCATCTCCGCGTGGGAACATCTCTCTGCCAACTCCCATTGGGAACACCCCTCCCTCTGCCATCTCCCCGTGGGAACATCCCTCTGCCAACTCCCCATGGGAACACCCCTCCCTCTGCCAACTCCCCATTGGAACATCCCTCTGCCAACTCCCCATGGGAACACCCCTCCCTCTGCCATCTCCCCATGGGAACATCCCTCTGCCAACTCCCCGTGGGAACATCCCTATGCCAACTCCCCATGGGAACACCCCTCCCTCTGCCAACTCCCCGTTGGAACATCCCTCTGCCAACTCCCCATGGGAACACCCCTCCCTCTGCCATCTCCCCATGGGAACATCCCTCTGCCAACTCCCCGTGGGAACATCCCTATGCCAACTCCCCATGGGAACACCCCTCCCTCTGCCATTTCCTTGTGGGAACATCCTCTGCCATCTCTCCGTGGGAACATCCCTCTGCCAACTCCCCACCCATGGGAACACCCATCTGCCAACTCCCCGTGGGAACATCCCTCTGCCAACTCCCCGTGGGAACACCCCTCCCTCTGCCCATTCCTGTTAGGAACACCATTCCTCTTTTGTTTGTCCCCCTTGTAAGCATACCTCCTCCTACCTGACATGCATGTGACAGTCCATGCTGTTGCCATTTTCATTCATGGAAACTCAATTAATTTTTTAATATAATATAAAATGTCTCATGCTAGAAGTAGAGAAATTGTTAGAAAGGTTGTGAGAGAGAATGTTTTGTTGTAAAACTTTTGAGTATATTTTAAACTTCCTTCCTCAGAACCTGTTTGCACAGCGGGATGAGAGACACTCATCCATCTACAAGAAGCGGCGCTGTTTCCTGTGGAACAACCAGTACTTCCATCTGGACATGTTTGAAGATACTTGCCCACCTGAGTAAGTTTGCTTTTTCATACCTGACTTGAACTAGAAATAGAGTTTGTTACTGATACTAATTATTAAAACAGTATGTATTACACAGTCTATCATCATACATATCTTGTCGTATTGTATGTGTAGTTCTAGTGATTATTGTATGTGTAGTTCTAGTGATTATTGTATGTATAGTTCTAGTGATTATTGTATGTATAGTTCTAGTGATTATTGTATGTGTAGTTCTAGTGATTATTGTATGTATAGTTCTAGTGATTATTGTATGTATAGTTCTAGTGATTATTGTATGTATAGTTCTAGTGATTATTGTATGTGTATAGTTCTAGTGATTATTGTATGTGTAGTTCTAGTGATTATTGTATGTATAGTTCTAGTGTATAGTTCTAGTAATTATTGTATGTGTAGTTCTAGTGATTATTGTATGTGTAGTTCTAGTGATTATTGTATGTGTAGTTCTAGTGATTATTGTATGTGTAGTTCTAGTGATTATTGTATGTGTAGTTCTAGTGATTATTGTATGTGTAGTTCTAGTGATTATTGTATGTATAGTTCTACTGATTATTGTATGTATAGTTCTAGTGATTATTGTATGTGTAGTTCTAGTGATTATTGTATGTGTAGTTCTAGTGATTATTGTATGTGTAGTTCTAGTGATTATTGTGTGTATAGTTCTAGTGATTGGTTTTTTAACCAGTATTTACTTTGTCATTTGAGGACTATTTGTCTCCAAGAATAAACAGGATAAAGTAGAGAAATGTTTAATTTCATTGTCATTTTGTTATCAGTTCTTTATTATCAGTATAAAAACTTTGATATTTTGTTGGATATTAAAGTGAACAGTAGTTTTAATGCAAGAGAGTTACAGGGATTAAAGGTCATTGTCATACTGACATAAATAAGAGAAATTTCATAAAAATTCAGGGAAAATGTCTACAAGTTTTCAGTGTCAATATTAAAATGACAACTAGAAAAATGTGCAGTCATTTGAACAAAATTTATGAAATGATTGAATTCAGCCATAACGATATATTTGTATTTGGATTGGAGTTGATAGGACAGCACTCCATCAATCTTTATCACTGAAGAGGTTGAGTAAAAGCTGATCACTGTGTTATTTGACGTCCGTTATGACTTCAAATTGATTTATTTAGGTAAAAAGTTGGTAATAAAATTCCTTACAAAGTCAGCAATTATGTACTACTCTGGTATTCAAACTCCTACAATTTTGAATAAAATACTATTATTTCCTCCAAAAGGAGTTCCAAATATCTCCAAACTAACATTTATTCTCAAATTTAAGTTATAAATTTCAGGCACAGAAAATATGTTACTATTGACTATTGATATATGATCTTTTTCTGTTGACAGGTGCAAAGGGCTAGTACTGCTAGAGACGTACACCACAAAAACCGGTGATGACCTCCAACTACCAGACTTTCTGGAAATAGAGAAAGAAGTAACTAACAATCCAAAGTTCTCCATGTTTAATCTTTCCCTAAAGGATCCCGCCAAATTCAAGCGGGAACACCTTAGTTCTGTAACCAGTGATGATGGACTGTGACAGGGGAGACAATTATGTATGCCTTTGTAACATTCCCCACATTAAGCTACCACATTTGGTGTTGTTAAACTTCTCTTGCTTTCAGTGTGGAACTTGACTTAATTAAGAACCACATCATTTAATTGTCCTGTAGTAGATATAACAATAGACCCTAAGATTGATTTTAACAGAATAGTTAAAATTTTGAAAAGTAGACTGAACTTTTTTAATGATATGAAATGTTTTTGGTTTTATTGATGAAAAACTTTAAGATAACTTTTATTTCAAAGAAAACTACTATAGATTGATAGGTTTAAGAAATTTTTATATAAAGAAATAGACATGGATAAAAAGCTTTCAGAAATTTTTATGTAAAGAAATAGACATGGATAAATAGGTTTAAGAAATAGACATAGATAAAAAGTTCTAAATCACGGTGCTGAGACACATTTGTAAAGCTTAATCGGAAGGGTTAAAGTACTTCTCAGAAATTGTCTTTGCAATTTTATTGCTACTATTTTTGTAAATGAAATTTATTTTTTGTATTTATTGTAATGCAAATCATTTTGTATGTGGAATGGGTTATTTTACTGTTAACCATGTGTGTTCATGTACTCCTACAGGATAACTGTTAATAGTGTAGCAGAAAAAAGGGATGCCATCAGTCTTTTGTATCTGTTGAGGCCAGTCTCTAACACAGTACACCTATTCAACAAGACATGTTTTCTAGCTTATCTGACCCTAAACAAAAGGAGAGTGATATTTCAGGCCTGTAGCATCCCTTTAAAACCCTCCATTACCATGACAGATTCTGATTTGTTATTCCCGGGGCCATTTATAAGCGTCAATGAAAGGTGATTATTGTATATTGTTCCACCAGAGAGGTAATGTTGTATACAAAAAGGGATATTGGGATGCTAGCAGTAGTTAGAGTTTTTGATGTACCAAACAGCCCAGTTAGATTAGTGATCTAGTGTTATGTTACCATAGGGACTGCAGGTAGTATTTAGTAAAGAGGAACAAATCTACATACCTGTTTAGAAAGTGAATTAAGGACATTGCTATCTGTTGTTCCGACTAGATGATAACCCCTTGTTAATTTGTCCAGAGAGTGGTTTTGATATAGGTGTATATAACAATACAAAATGACAGCAGTTTGATGAATATCTTTGTTTCTGTATTGGTCTTCAATACTGGTATTATTTCTTTACAGTATTATTTCTTTAACTTTCTGTTGTGGGTTTTTGTGCTCTATTTATCATTCTCATGTAGATTCTACATTTATTTTATCAAGTGTTTTATTTAACATTAGTTGTTGGAATGGAGGGAGAAAAGCAATGAGTGAACCCTGACCTTATGACAGTGTCAGACAAATCAGGGGAAAAGATAACATGCAAGTATTTTGTTCTGGCAAAGGTGATAGAAATTACATATATGTGTACTTGTTTTAAAGATATCATCGTTTGTTTTTCAGTAGATCTTGTGCAGATGAGGAATCTCAATTTCATGGACTTCTCACATAATTTTTGTATGTAAATTGTTATTTTTAAAGTCATTTCAAACATCATGTTTTGAGATTGAAAAATATTGCATGTCTTGAAATAATCAGGTTTATTATTTCTTAGTATGTATTTGATTTAAATTAGTGAATTAGTAAGTTATTGGTACATATTTACCGTTAGTGTATCCAAGCACCTGTTGAGTATATCCTGTTACAGGTGTATCATGTTAATACTGGTGAACTATTGGCTTAAACATGATCTCTAAGCTTCCCTCACAAACATCCAGACTATATCAACATCTTCATTGTCTGTTTACATAGTCATTTCACAAACAAATTCCAAGACTTCAGCAACTTTTGTATTATATATTACAATGAAATTTACATTAATATTGTACTTACAGAAATATATATTTCGATGTTGACAGCGAAATACACTTGAATTGGAGAGGTTGCACATGTACATGTGCATTGTAAAGGTCAAGGTTAAACTTTTACAATATGTGTTCAAATCTCAGAATTTTCTGTTCTAAAAACAGAATCGCTTTCATTATGTGTTGATAGTTCTTTTATATCTTTTTAATATGCATTGAATCTCTGGAAATGCTTTTTGCATAATAATGAAATGATACTTTTTTATGGTGAAAACCTCATCTCTATAACCTGTTATTACTATTGTAATGAGAGGAATTCAAATAAAAAATATACTCGGCATTGGAAAAAAACATACTCTCCATTTTCCTTGTAAGTGTTTGACATCAGATATGCAGGCACATTTTTAAAGACAGAATTTGCTCAGAAGCCAAGCGATTTTGATGACTGTTGGTTAATATTATGATTTGTATGGTGTTGAATCATACTAAGGGGTTTGTGTAGTTTGAAGAAGACTAGACAAAACAAAGTACCAAAGATATTACAGCAAATAATGTGGGGTTTTTCTCTGTGAACATCGTATAGTCTTTACAACTGGACTAGAGATTCGTATAGTCTTTACAACTGGACTAGAGATTCGTGTTTTCTTTACAACTGGACTAGAGATTCGTATAGTCTTTACAACTGGACTAGAGATTCCTATAGTCTTTACAACTGGACTAGAGATTCCTATAGTCTTTACAACTGGACTAGAGATTCCTATAGTCTTTACAACTGGACTAGAGATTCGTATAGTCTTTACAACTGGACTAGAGATTCGTATAGTCTTTACAACTGGACTAGAGATTCGTGTTTTCTTTACAACTGGACTAGAGATTCGTATAGTCTTTACAACTGGACTAGAGATTCGTATAGTCTTTACAACTGGACTAGAGATTCGTATAGTCTTTACAACTGGACTAGAGATTCGTATAGTCTTTACAACTGGACTAGAGATTCGTATAGTCTTTACAACTGGACTAGAGATTCGTATAGTCTTTACAACTGGACTAGAGATTCGTATAGTCTTTACAACTGGACTAGAGATTCGTGTTTTCTTTACAACTGGACTAGAGATTCATGTTTTCTTTACAACTGGACTAGAGATTCGTATAGTCTTTACAACTGGACTAGAGATTCGTATAGTCTTTACAACTGGACTAGAGATTCCTATAGTCTTTACAGCTGGACTAGAGATTCGTATAGTCTTTACAGCTGGACTAGAGATTCGTATAGTCTTTACAACTGGACTAGAGATTCCTATAGTCTTTACAACTGGACTAGAGATTCCTATAGTCTTTACAACTGGACTAGAGATAGAGATTCCTATAGTCTTTACAACTGGACTAGAGATTCGTATAGTCTTTACAACTGGACTAGAGATTCCTATAGTCTTTACAACTGGACTAGAGATTCGTGTTTTCTTTACAACTGGACTAGAGATTCGTATAGTCTTTACAACTGGACTAGAGATTCGTATAGTCTTTACAACTGGACTAGAGATTCGTGTTTTCTTTACAACTGGACTAGAGATTCGTGTTTTCTTTACAACTGGACTAGAGATTCGTATAGTCTTTACAACTGGACTAGAGATTCGTATAGTCTTTACAACTGGACTAGAGATTCGTATAGTCTTTACAACTGGACTAGAGATTCCTATAGTCTTTACAACTGGACTAGAGATTCGTATAGTCTTTACAACTGGACTAGAGATTCCTATAGTCTTTACAACTGGACTAGAGATTTTTGTGATCATTATGTACTAAATGTGTTTGTTCTGTTTTGTCTCTCCTTGTACCATTAATTGGTCTTAGTTATAAAAGTAGAGAGTGGAGAACCTTTGTCGATTATTCATTTTATTGCTCACATTATCAGGATAGAAAAAAAACAAGGGTAAAGATCAAACAAGACCCAGTAAAGGTCATACAATAGTGGAGGTCAAGGTCTCTTTGGGATCACCTATCAGTTAAGACTTGTAGATTTATCATATACAAAAGGCCCAGTAAAGGTCATACGATAGTGGATGTCCAGATCTCTCTTGGATCTCCTATCAGTTAAGATTTGTAGATTTATCATATACAAAAGGCCCAGTAAAGGTCATACGATAGTGGATGTCAAGGTCTCTCTGGGATCTCTTATCAGTTAAGACTTGTAGATTTATCATATACAAAAGGCCCAGTTAAGGTCATACGATAGTGGATGTCCAGATCTCTCTGGGATCTCCTATCAGTTAAGACTTGTAGATTTATCATATACAAAAGGCCCAGTAAAGGTCATACGATAGTGGATGTCAAGGTCTCTCTGGGATCTCTGATCAGTTAAGACTTGTAGATTTATCATATACAATAGGCCCAGTAAAGGTTACGATAGTGGATGTCAAGGTCTCTCTGGGATCTCTTATCAGTTAAGACTTGTAGATTTATCATATACAAAAGGCCAAGTAAAGGTCATACGATAGTGGATGTCAAGGTCTCTCTGGGATCTCTTATCAGTTAAGACTTGTAGATTTATCATATACAAAAGCATCATTTACATTTTAATCTGCGATATTAGCAATAATTCCATGGATTGCAGCCAACACCATGGTGCTATGTGTAGGTAGGGGTATTCCTGATATCCCTTGCTTGGGTACCACCAAGTATTGAGGGTGATTTAGGATTAGGGACTAACAACACATGTATCAACCACAACAAGCTCAGGATAAGATGGTAGTAGGTTTATTAATCTTTGTTGTCCGGTTTCACCCGAACTATGTGGACTTCAACAGGACAACAAATGTATGAAATTTTCCCCTAAAGTACTAAAAATGTGGGCACGTTACATTATGACGTACACAATAAGGACCTTTTGTTACATTCTATAGTTTCCCTAACAGTTAATACAGTTCATTGTGTGTATTCTGCATAAGTATATATCAAATATCATGCCCGTTAGTCAAATACGTTCTGGGTTTCTCAATCTTTTGATCATAAATAGAATTATAAGCGATTGTGATTTCTGTTACAGAGTTAATAGAATTAAAAGATTTGTTCGTTTTAAACAAATGGTAGAGTTTGACTTCTACTGCTGGCTGCTTTCTCCTGTTTTGGCTGTAGTTGTGGACATCGACTGGTATCCCAACGTCTTGTTGTTCCATGTGTTCACTTCAGATGAGTTAGGAGAAGATGTGGTGT